TTGGGGTGGGGGGTTTAGGGGGAGGGTTAGGGGGGGGGTAGGAACCATCATTTTTACAAACGGGGCACCGTAGATGCCCCAAACAAACTGGTGTAAGCAAATGACACCAATAGCACTGGTGTCATTCTAGACTAATACAACAACAACAACAACAACAATCCAGTTGAATCCCACTACAGTAGGGTCTGGGGAGGGTGTGTGTACGCAGACTTGCCCCTACTCGAAAGTGGGGAGGCTGTTTCCAAGAGACCCCCGGCTCAACCTGCACATAAAGTATGGTAGAGAACACAATATAACAGGATAACAAGATATCATTCTAGACTAATACATACATACATATACATATATATACATATATATACATATATACATACATATACATACATATATATATATATATATATATATATATATATATAGGGATTGACTCCAATTGACAGATAAGATGACATGATACAATCAGATGACATAAAGCTCACCACTGATCACTGGAAAGCTCATAAAGGACAACCGTGAAGCTCACCAAATTGTATGGAAAAGCTCACCATGATTTATTCACACTTTGAATTTTTAAAAGTTTAAAGTTTCAGTGCTCACAAACCCCAACCAAAAACCTCACCATTCTTCAATGTAAAGCTAACCGGACATACACACGAAGCTCACCAAATTTTTAGGTTGAAAAATTGAAAAAAAATCAAATGGTGACTTGGACCACCATTGACTGGCGGATGGCAACCGGCGGCCGGCGGGGGTGGTTAAGGCGGCAGTCGGCGGTCAAATTCAGTGGTCAACATAAGTGAAAGTCAAAGTCAGGACCTCTTCCTTTGATTTTTTTCAAAAAAGATTTCAAACATAGGTGAAAGTCAAAGTCAACAGTGCTGACCCTTGATGCTGTTTGATCTGTGTTAGAACTAGAAGTTGGGCAACTATTCCTTAATTCCTTCAAGCTCTGAACCTCGAGAGTTGCTCCCCTAGGATCTGAAGAAACAAGAGTAGACTTGCAAATGATCGATTTTGAGTGATGTGCTCTGTCTCTAGTGAGAATCTTCATATCCGCCGGGATTACTTTTTGTTCCATGGCTATAATATGGGTGTTGAACGGATTCCCATTCGGCAGCGACGCCAGATCTGTGCCCTACCCCCCCACATATATATACATATATATATATATATATATGAAAGCATCTAAAATGACACCAGTTACTTACACACCAATTGCTTATATCAGTTCGTTTGGGGAACCTACGGTGCCCCGTTGGTAAAAATGATGGTTCCTACTCCTCCCTAAACCCCCCACCCCAGTATGCTGCCAGGGTAAGGGGGCAAGGAGATGGGTAGGGGTGGGGGGGGAGGGATGAGGGGTTTAGGTGGGGGGTGGGGTAAGAACCATCATTTTTACCAATGGAGCATCGTAGGTGCCCCAAATGAACTGGTGTAAGCATTGACACCAATAGCACTGGTGTCATTTTAGACTTTCTCTCTCTCTCTCTATATATACATATATATATATATATACATACATACATACATATATATACATATACATATATATATATATATATATATATATATATATATATATATATATATATATATATATATATATAAGTCCTCTCATCAGCACCTCGCCTCGCCTTTCAAGACTCTAGCGGGAACGTTTTCATTTTGCAAGGGCAAAACTATCTTTATCTTGATTTTCCAAACCCAAACAAAGTTAGAATTATATTGGGTTGTTGACTTGTTGGTTTGAATGGCATCCACTGATGACGGTTTTGCACTTTGTAGTCCGGTTTCATTGGGAGTTTGGATGCAAGAAAATTGGTGAAGCGTGTTTAGTTTCTTTAAGCTTTTGGTAATGGTGATGGTGTAGTGAGCTAGATGCCTTGAACATAAAGTAATTGTTGTATTTGGCTAGTGATATCGCAATTTCAAATAGTTGTATATTGGCAACATTGATGGAATGTGAAGATTTCCCATGTAGCTTCCAACATATAGTCCTTGTAAATATTGATCAATCGTGTGGTACAAATATTAATGCTTGGGGAGAAGGTTAAAATCTTGTTCAAAATACTGGTTGTGGGCCCCGGTGCATGGGATCCCTTGCGGCACATGATACAATGACGATGCATGGGGTGGGAAAAAGGTAAACATTGTCGCGAGAGTAACTTCTCTAACTTGGTTGCTGTGTTGATAATCGATTAACATAAAAGCAGAAAAAGTTCAAAATGTTGACTTTTTTTCCAACAACAAACAACGCCTTTTTACATCACACAAATTTTTTCATGCTAGAAAAACAAAATTGTTCATACAAGAAGAAAAGGATAGTTCTGACGATGTGTGAAGTGTTTGAGTGAATGGTATTCCACTTATATCTCGATTTTTATGAATGATCTATTTACAATTATATATAGCTATTTAGGAGATTTTGATAGGTTTAAGGGCTGATATAAGACGTTATGTCATGTCTTCCAGAATCTACAACTAATATACTACCGTTATCCACATTCGGAAATTGGAATCATGAATCATATCATGCGATACACAATTCTTTTCCATTTCTGGTACAAGCGCACATTAGCATTGTATTATGATCATAATTTGAATAATATAACTGAATAATGTCCAACTAGTAATCAATATTATTTTTAATTTTTTTTTGAAAAAAAAACGTCATTTTCAAATCTGTTTATAGCATTAATAAAAAATGATATGGAATGCCTAGATATACTATAGAGGTAAATAAGATAAATAAGGGTACAAGAACAAGGACAAGAACCCTATAAAATCCTATGAATGATGTCGGGGGGTGGGGTGGGGTGAGTGTACTCAGACCTTACCCCTACCTCCAAAGGTAAAGAGGCAGATCAATAACGGTAATAAAAAGTAAAATTATTTTTTGTCGTTATGAGCCATTTACACATTCTAGCACTTCACAGCTAATTATTGGTGTGTTACTGCCAAACTTCTCTGCAAGATCAACTAAAAGAAAAAATTATTCAAAACAGCTGAGGCAGATATGCAACTTCAAATTGCTAAAAACTAATTTCATTTCAATACAGGAATATTTGTTCTTACTGCTTTGTTCTTGGATGTATTTTATGTTTCTCAATCATAAATTTAACTCTTACACAAGATCAGCTGCTGACAGTTCAGGTTTAATATCTCCATCTCCCAAAGTACATGCAACGTCTATGCTGCGAACTTATTCTTCACCTGGATTTGAAAGCTCCATCAGTCGACCTATGAAGCTATCTGAAATATTTGTTGCGGCTGAGCGCTCTTTGCAAACTACAATTTCTGATAAAGAGCTATGGAAATCATTGTCCTCTCCGGAAGAATTTGAGGTGGCTATTTAAATTATATCCTCACAATATCTAGAGCTAAGAAGTGCAGGATATGTCTGAGATGATATTTTGTTTTAATACAAACCGTCCATTTCCAATGGAGCTAAAAGAGTCATCATTGACAATGTTTTCGTTTCGGGTACATAATGGACTAAATCAAAATGTAACATTAAACTTCTTTTGTTTTGTACTTTCAATGAAATTTTGGGCAGTAAATGCAACAATGCATCTAGGGTCTAATGGAGTAGCCTTTTTGTTTTTACACGGGTAAGATTGCATACATTTTGACCACCCAGCGCCAATGGAGTTAGGATTATATTGGAGCTGGGATTGTATTGGGTTGTTGTAGTCTCTGTCAATTTATGCTTCCTACGAGCTTTGATTATATGATTCTTTGAACACTTCTATATGTATTTTTTATTCAATGTGCCTTTTCTCTATTTTTTGAGATATTTTTTGTTGTCAGAAAAAATATTTGGAACTGTCAAAGGGTGCCGCTGAAAACTATCATCAGTCATGGTGGAAGAGACATGGAGTTGTTCTTGATGGTGAAATTGCATCTGTCTATCATAAGCTTGGAAACTTTGATATTGCTGCCAAGTTGTATGAGAAGGTATGTGCTCTTTATGCTGGTGAAGGTTGGCAGGACCTATTGGCTGAAGTCCTTCCAAATTTAGCAGCGTGTCAAAAAATACTGAATGATCAAGCTGGTTATCTCTCTTCCTGTGTGAGGCTACTGTCATTGGATAAAGGATTGTTTCTTAAAAAAGAGCGCCAGGCATTTCAGTCTGAAGTCGTCCGCCTTGGTCATAGTGAAATGGAGCACCCTGTGCCTCTAGATGTGTCCTCCCTGATAACATTTTCTAGTGATCCTGGGCCTCCACTGGAGCTATGTGATGGGGATCCTGGTTCCCTCTCTGTAACTCTTTGGAGTGGATTTCCTGATGATATTGCTCTTGAATCACTGAGTCTCACTCTTACAGCTACTAATATCACTGATGATGGTGTAAAGGTTCTGTTTTCATGACTATGATTCCTTCACTCAATACGATTAAAAATGAATGCATTTTAATAGTGCTTTCTAATCATTCTGAACTCTTATTCAGGCTATAAAACGCTCTGGTGCTACAATATTAAATCCTGGAAGGAATAAAATCACAGTATCTTTACCTCCTCAGAAACCTGGTTCGTATGTTTTGAGTATTCTTACAGGACAAATTGGTCAATTGAGATTTAGATCTCATAGCTTCTCCAAAGGAGGACCTGCAGATACTGATGACTTTATGAGTTATGAGAAACCAACAAGGCCTATCCTGAAGGTACTTCAGAAGAGCATAGTATCCTTATCCTGCCTTCACCCTGCTTTTTGCATTATTCCTGTCTTAATGTGTAGCTTTACTATTTTTCTTGCATTATAACGTATAAGTTTCTGAATGTGTATCTTCAATATTCTTCGTGTACAATAAATGTCTAAATACGTTGCCACTTGCTATAATCATGCACGTAGTCATATCATATAATCATATGTTTGTCATTTTTTTGCAAGGTGTTCAAACCAAGATCTCTGGTTGCTCTAGTGGCGGCTGTCTCATCTGCTTTGCTTATCAATGAGCCTCAGTGGGTAGGAATAGTTGTCAAACCAATGAACTACTCCCTAAAAGGTGCTGTACTTCACATAGACACTGGACCCGGTTTGACTATTGAACAGTGCCATGGAATTGAAATTGAGAAGCATACAGATGGATCTCATAATGAATCTGATTTGGGTGACCAGGAAGGTTTGAAAGATGATGGTAACCAAACTACTACAGAATTAAAGCAATTGTCTCTTCATGATGGAAAAGTTGAGCTGCCAGACTGGGCTAGCAATATAGCTTCTGTTTTATGGATCCCTGTTTGTGCTGTCAGTGATTGCATTTCTAGGGGAACTCTTGCAGGTAATATATAACCTTTTTTTTAACAGCTCTATCTTGTACTTCTAGGAGGCTTGAGCTGGGTGAGTGGGGTAGTCTGGGAGACACTGGGAATTTGGGTACTGTCGGCGTATTTGTCAAGAGGAGGTGGCGAGGGCCATCCACGGGGATGAGAAGGAGGAGAGAGCCTTGGGATCGGATGAGATTCTATTGGTTTTTTGGAAGTCTGCAGGCATCAGTTGGTTGGTTTGGAATTGGTTTGGATAACCAAGTTCTTTAATGTTATGTTTAGAATGACTAAGATGCTAGACAAGTGGAGGGAAAGTGTGGTAATCTCACTGTATAAGGGTAAGGGTGATATCCAGATTCCAATATTTATACTTTTATAGGGGCATCAAACTTCTTAGCCACACGCCCACACCAAAGTTGGGGAGCATATCATAGAGGCTAGGATGTGAAAGAAGGTGTGCATTTCCAAGAACTAGATTGGTTTCATGCTTTACCAGTCGACCATGGAGGCTATCCATCTTTTGCGGGGGATGATGGAAGCGTATAGGGCTAAGACGAAGGATCTTCACATTGTGTTTATTGACCTTGAAAAGGCATACAAAAGGGTGTTGGGGGAGAGTTTTTGGAGGTGTCTTGAGTTTAGAGAGGTTCCATCACGGTGTGTCCAAGCGCAAAGGGAAAGTACCTTGGTGCGTGCTTTTTGCCGTGTTGATCGAGGAGACACGTGAAGGGCTCAATGGCAAGTTGGAGTTGTGGTGTCACTTCTTGGAATCCACAGGCGAACTAAGAAGGACTAAGACCGAGCCCTTGGAATGTTGCTTCGGTGGTAGGGCGACAGAGTCAGATACTCGAATGTGAAAGTCAGGATTGAGTCACACCCGATGCCTAAGAGAGACAAGTTTTGATATCTTGCTTCAATCATATAGGAAGATGCAGATATAGACAGGGGTGTTGTTCACCGTGTGGGAGCTATTTCAGCAAATGGGGGCTACTTGGGCAAAGTGGAAGCTCGCTTCAGGTGTCCTCACGACAAGAAGATTTCAGCTTGGATGAAAGGGAAGTTCTATCGGTCTGACCGACAATGCTTTATGTAGCATAGTGTTAGGCGGTTAAGAAAACCCACGTTCGTCAACTGCATGCAGCACAGATGCGGATGCTGTAGTGGATTTGTGGGCAGACGAGGTTGGATAGGATTGGTAACAAGATCATACGGGGACGAGTTGATGTGGAACCTGTAGAGCATAAGCTGCATGAAGCTAGGTTGAAATGGTTTGGACACGTGAAGCGGCGTAGCATCGAGTCCCCGGTGCGGAGATGTGAGAGGCAGACTAGTGCACATGGTGGAGGAAGGGGTTGACCTAGGAAGAATTGGAGAGAGGTGATTAGAAATGACTTGAGTTTTCTAGCCTCTACCAAGGATACGACCTTAGATAAGAGCATCTGGATATCTAGGATTTGGGTAGTTGGGTAGTCGATTGGACCTTATGCTTTAGTCGTTTCCTTAGTTTGTTCTTTGTATGTAGCTTGCTGTTTTTATGTCTCTTTGCGCTTTTCTGTACCCTTAGTTTGTTCTTTGTATGTTGTGTCCGTGCTTTGTGTGCCTTCCATGTTGCTTGAGCCGGGGGTCTCTTTAAAACAGCCTCTCTACTTTCGAGTAGGGGTAAGGTCTGCGCACAAACATCCCCCCCAGACGCTGCTTTTGTAGGATTTTACTGGGCTGTTGTTGTCTATCTAATGTGTTACTGATGATAAAAAATACTGAACACACATGGTGGGTGTTCTATCATGCATATCATAACCATTTCTTCTACTATATATCTTTCAGGAGAAGGCATATCCCAGAGACAGAGTGTTGTAGATGGAATGAGAACGATTGCTCTAAAACTCGAATTTGGAGTATCTCGAAATCAAGTATTTGAAAGGCTTGTATTTTCCCCTTTTCATACTTCCTTTTTCAGGACTTGGCACACTTTTTCCTGTACACTCTTCTTGATTTCTTATCACTAATTTTAACCTTGCAGGACAATGGCTGTACATTTTACAGACCCTTTCTGTGTGAGCATACGGGTTACGGACAAGTGCAATGATGGCACTCTGCTTTTACAGGTTATCTATATGCTCCTTGTTTTCTGTGCTGTCATTGTTGGTCATTCTGCAGACATAAATTTTCATATCTTTGGTGGGTTTCCCTGAAAAGATTTAGAAATGGAATATTAAATATTTAAATCAAAACAGCCATAGTGACTAATCAGTCGTGATTCTGTAGTCCGTAATTTAATATACTCTGAATCTCGAGATGTGTCATCTGTATTCTGCTGCGAGGAAGGGAAAGTTCTCAACATGACTTTACTCATATATCATCAAATCAAGTTTCTACTCCCTCCGGTCCTAAATAAATTTCTGCATTTGACTTTTGCGGTTTAAGGTGAATGTAAAAAGTGTTTTGGGAAATGGGAAATGATGTTGGGAATGCAAAAAGTGTTCTGGAAAATGGGAGTAAAAAGTAAAAGAAGTTTATTTTGGGAAGTTGGGAAATTGGAAGAAAGTTTATCTGAAAACGGAGAGTATGTCTGAAAATTGAGCTATTTAATTCCAGGTCTATAATCAAGTTTTACAATCAAATATAACTTACAATACAACAATAACAAGTAACAACAACAACATTACCCCAGTGCTTCAAAGGCTCCCGCCCATTTCGGGGTGGGGGGGGGGGTCGGATGTACGCAGTCTGACCCCTATGTTAAAAACATAGAGCGGCTATTTTCGGATGACCCATGATGAACGTCGAAAGTTGCATTGATTAACTGCTACTTCACCATTGAAAAAGAAGCGCAAACAGTTTAAAGAACCATTTTGCTTAATTCCATCACACCCAAAGCCAAAAAAATAGTGAATCTTTGGCTCCCTCGGAGATGATGGAAGACAAATATAACTTACAATGTATATAACAAATTGGTTATGGCTAGGTGATATTGCAATCACAAGTGCAAGCTTTGTTGGCCATCTATGATGCTGGACTTGATTTACAAGATGGATTTTCTCACACCGGAACCAGCAATGGGAAATCGATGTCTCAATTCTTCCCGTTGACACTATCTCCAAAATCAAAAGCTTCAATCTTATTCAGTATATGCTTGAAGGAGGATGGTGTAAAAGAGGGTATGCCTACTTTGTTATTCACTTATCCTTCTCATTATTTATTTTTCTGATGCATTAGTTTCAGTTTTCCAATCAAAAGTTATGGATGCTGCAATTGTAAAATCTTAATGTGCAGCTAATAAAAAGAGAGATATATTCTTTTCACTTTCCCTTTAACAGTTTTCTTTTCATCAATTCATATGCCATTTTTTAGCAGATGAAGCTAAAATGCAGCACTCAGAAAGTGTGTTAAATATTACTTATGGGATTTCGGGTGATAGAATGATTGGAGCTCATTGCCCTATGGCTGAGGAACGTAATGTACCTGATGACACAACGCTGAAGCTGACGTTCAAGAGCTCTCTTGTTTTACGGAAACCTGTGCTTGACCCTTGCTTTGCAGTTGGCTTTCTTCCACTCTCCAGTGGTCTACGAGTTGGGCAATTTGTTACAATGAAGTGGAGAGTTGAAAGGCTAAAAACATTAGGTGAATATGCTGCTTCTGAAGACAATGTAAGTGACCAGTTTCTTCTCAACATTTTATTAACCTTCTAACCTACAACCTAGAAGAATCCCACAAAAGTAGGAGGGTGTAAAGTATACTCCCTCCATCCCCCATAGATCTTCCCATTAGCCCTTTTTATTTGTCCCTCATAGATCTTCTCATTACTTTTTTTAACATTTAAAATGCCATAACTACCCCCACTTTATTTATTACACCTTACACACCTCATTTAATACATTCCACCCATTTTCATTAAGGGTATTTTGGTAATTTTCACCTTTTTCAACTCCTTAAAAACAAAAAAAAGTCAAAACAAGAAAATTTTAGGGGGACGGAGGGAGCATATGTATGTATGTATGTATAAGCTGATATACGCTAATGCCTAAGAAACGCCAATTCCAGGGCAAGCTAACTACTCCTAGTTAAAAAGTAGGTGTATGTATGTATGTATGTGTATTTGTGTGTGTGTCTCTCTCTCTTTATACATACATACATACATACATACATCATACATACATACATACATACATACATACATATACATATACACACACACACACATACATATATATATATATATATATATGTATATATATATATAGAAAAAATTGACAATGTAACACTGATATTGTCTGTCTTGGACAATCCAAGGAGAATTTGGCGCTTATGAAAAGTTCTTCAAACCATTGATTGAGAAATACAAAATTGCTAATCTTTCATGTTTTCTATATGCACGTGCTACAGGATGAAGTTTTTTTCGAGATCAATGCAAACTCTGATAACTGGATGATTGCAGGGAGGAAAAGGGGACACGTCCCGCTGTCCATAAAACAAGGTTTCCGCTCTCTCGTGAAGTTTTACTGTTATTTCTTTGTGGCCAAGATTTCCCTTCAACCAACATTCCTATTTTCTCTCTTTGGTTATATTTAGCAGGGGCACGAATAGTCATTTCAGTGTTGTGCTTGCCACTAGTTTCGGGATACGTTCGTCCCCCTCAACTTGGCTTGCCAAATGTGAAGGAAAATATTAGTTGTAACCCTCCCGGTCCTCATTTGGTTTGTGTTATGCCTCCAATTCTGAGTTCTTCCTTTTGCGTGCCAGCCTGAGCCATATGTGAGCAGTTTTCATGTATAAAGATGGTTTGCTTGGGTCATCCACTCATCTAAACATAGAAGAAAAGGAAGGGCGCCAGAAGGGGACATCAGTTTTCCACATTCCTGCCCAGAAAACTTGTACATTGTGTCATTGTGTGTATTATTTCTTTCCTGTTGGAGTAGCGGGTATTTACAAACTCAGCCCCTCAAACATTCACTGTTATTTCACTATTCAATGTATTTTTCCCTAATATTTAGTCAAAGGTTAAAAAAGTTGACCTTGAAAGTCAAACTGGAAGGGGGGTATGGAGGGATTAACTATTGGTAGGGACCTAGAAAGATCTTTCTACCTTATGAATGCAAAACTGATTACGGAGTATGTGCTAAATCATAAATGAAACCTTGGGGAAATTTTTTGAGCATTAGTGTATGGAGACCATTATTGAAAACATATGTGATTGACTATTTTACTATCTGGTTTGAATCGTTCTGGTCTTGTTTAATACTCCCTTTGCCCTGATTTAAGTTGTATATTCACTATTTACAATGTCACATTTTCATTATTTATTTTTGGTATTTTTTTTTTTGATAGAATAATATAGTCATGCCACTTCATGTTTTGTAGAAACTTCAAATGTAGTTTGTAAATATATAAATTTTATTTTTAAATTCTACGCCCTATTTCATGAATCACTCTTCATAAACTTTTCATCTCACTTTATATCTGCTATGTCCAAAAAAATTCCTATTTTCTTTTTCGGCAAATTTTTTTATTTCTACAAAGACCTTATTAGCCCTATTCTCTTCTACCTACTCATCATCCACTGTCCCTTTTAGCTTTTGAAATGGAAGGTACTTTTGTATCTACATTTCCGCTTTTCTTTATTTATCATAATCTATCACATCTTCATTATTTTTCTACACTTAGGCTTCGTTTGGTACATGGAATTCAAGCAATAGAATTAGAATTAGATTCTATTGTCAATTCTTTTGAAAAACCACCAAGATCCCGAAACAGAATTTAAAAAAAGAACAAACACAAGTTGAATATTACACGTATAGTAAGCACGTAGACAATATATTACATAACTTACACACTTAAGAATAAGAAAAATCAATCAAAGGCCGAGTCTATTCATTTTCTTAACCAATTTGGAAGATTATTATTCTCTGAATTGAGAAACACTAAGGCAAAAGTTGTTGTTCTATGCATTGTTTCTTTAGTTCTCAGGGATAATGAAGATGCAAACATCTTGTGGGATGGTATGAATACTTGAGTATCGATCGGAGTAATAATACGTAGGTAGTTGTAGCAGTAATAATATGTATATAGCTAAACAGATGTAAAAGGCCGGTAATAAGGCTCTCTCTCTATTGCAGAGTATGAAACTAACCACTGTTCAAATATTAACTATATTGTACATTGTATACTACTGAATGCCTATAGGCCTATATAATCATCTTACTATACTTCTTGTTACTTCCTATAGGAATTTTGTTACTTGGTTGGAAAGACCTTTCTATTATTTCGCACGAATGGAAATACCTTTCTATCATCGAAGTAATAATATGTAGGTAGTTGTAGCAGTAGTGATATGTATGTAGGGAAAAGGATGCAAAAGGCTGATAGGCTCTCTCTCGCTGTTGCAGAGCAGCAAACTACCCACTATTCAAATACTCTCTCCGTCCCAGAGTATTTGTCCACTTTCATTTTTACACATCATCCAATACACTTCTTTAATCCATTTTATCGTATAATTTGTATATTAAAAAATTATAGAAATTATATATTAATAATCTATATGTTAAGACAAATCAAACAAAATCACACATAACTATATTTAGGCTTACACATTGAGAGAATTTGATGAGTCAAGGTGCTTAGATGAACAGTTCCAAAAGTCAAATGTGGACAAAAACTGGGGGACGGAGGGAGTATTAACTATATTGTACAATGTATACTTCTGAATGCCTATATGCCTATATGATCATCTTAGTGTAGTTCTTGCTATTCCCTGTAAGCATTTTGTTACTTGGTTGGAAAGACCTTTCTATCATTTTGCACAAATAGAAAGACATTTCTATCATCGGAGTAATAATATGTAGGTAGTTGTAGCAGTAATAATATATATGTTGATAAAAGGATGCAAAATATCGATAATAAGACTTTCTCAAACAAATTACCTATTGTTCAAATATTAAATATACTATACATTGTATACTTCCCAATGCCTATAGGCCTATATAATCATCTTACTATACTTCTTGCTACTCCCTTAGGGGTGTGCACAATTTGGTAAACCGACCGAACCGAACCGAAACCGAAAAATTTGGTACGTACCGAAACCGAACCAAATATTTCGGTTCGGTATTCGGTTCTCATATTTTGAAAAAATCGGTTTTCGGTTCGGTACAAAATTTGGAACCGGTATTTCGGTAAAAACCGAATACCGAAATTATTTAATGCTTATTTATAATTTTACCCATTGCTACTCAATTCAATACCCAATATCTATCCCAATATTGAAATAATGAATATCCACCCCACTAATTTTAAGTCCCATTATCTAAATTTGGAGTTATTTAAGATTGAAAATCATGAAAACATCAAATTAATAATACTGGTAAATGTTTTAATATTTCGGAATGGACAATTGTGTTATTTCTATCAACTATTTGTTTTATTTATGTAATGGTACTAATTGTGCTGCGTTATTTTAATTTTGGAGTGTGTAATGAACTTATATATAATGGATTATGCTTTGTTATTTTCAATTTGGAGAATGAAATGGATTTTTTAAAGTTTTAATTTTGGTTTAAGTTCGGTTTTTGGTAAAACCGATTACCAAACCGATTTAATTTGGTTTTTACCGAACCGAACCATTTGATTTCGATTCGGTATTTGGTACAAAAAATAAATTACCGAAATTTCGGTTTACCAAATTTTCGGTTCGATTCGGTTTTACCGAATGAACACCCCTATACTCCCTATAGGCGTTTTGTTACTTAGAAAAACCTTTTCTAAAATCACTCTATTCTTAAAAGCAGGGGAATTATTTTCCCGCCCAATGCACTCATCTCTTGCACCGTCGATATCAAGGAACAAACAAGATCTACGGCTATGATTGGTTGTGTAATATTACCTATTTAGAATGATAAATCAAAGGAACTTTTACATGCATAATCACTCTATTCTGATAAAAAAGAAAGTGAGTAATTTGTTTCCTAACCAATTTTGCCTAATTACTTGATTGTGATAAAAAAGAAGGAACGGTGCAGAAGATTTTTTATATTTTGTTTCCTTTTTAAATAGGTAATTATTTACGCCTAATTATTACTACTATTATTATTATAATTACTTGGAATAATTTACGCTTGATTATTTTATCAAAAAGTAATTATTTATGCCTAATTAAATAGGTAATTATTTACTTAATCACTCTTTTCTTAAAAGGAAATACTTTTAAGAATAATAGAATGATAAATTAAAAGAAATTTTGAATGCATAATTACTTAATTCTGATAAAAAAGGAAGGGACTAATTTTGCAAACAAGATCTACGTTGTTTCCTTTTTAGAATAATTTCGCATGCATAATTACTTAATTACTCTATTCTTATTTAGAATGATAAATTAAAAGAAGTTTCGCATGCCTAATATATTTCTAGAAAGGAAACAAAATATAAAAAATATTATTTATATAAACTTCTTTTCTAATACCGAACTTTTTTATAAAATTGGAATTGATATAATAAAAAAAAGATTACCATTCAACTAAAAATAATATTTGTCCATAAAAGGTAATAATCACGTTAAGGTGTAAATTTTTTAATCAATGCATTAAATTTACAGTTTCGTAATTTATGTAATTTCCAATTAAGAAACAAATCATTTTAATCATACAAACTATTTGTTTCCTTTTCCATTTTAGAAACAAACCATTTTAATCATACAAACCATTTGTTTCCTCTTTGGAAAGAAATCAAATCTAAAAGAAATGTCAAAGTAATACATAAAAATGGTGGTACATATAGTAAGTGTTGAATAAATAAATGATAATTAAATCATAAATCACCGTGTAATAAGAATAGATCATGTATTACCGTGTAACAAGAATAATAATATTAATATATTGTGTAATAATATTGCTGTATTTAATCATTATTAATTTATTATCATGTAAGAAGAATGATAATAATATACTGTGTAATAAAATTACCGTACTTAGTCATTATTATCGTCTAATAATTCTAATCTAAGAAGCTTTCAATTTAAAAATGTTTCCATTTAGAGAACATGGCCAAGCTTAATATTACCATATTTAATCATTATTAATTTATTACGGTGTGATTATGTAAAGAAAATAAGCTTTCAGTTTAATTATGTTTCCATTTAGAGATTCGGTGCGAAATATTTTATAAAGAAATTTAAATATATAAGTTTATGCATTTAAGGAAGGCACAATTAAAAAAATCAAAATAAAAAACAATAAAAGAAATTAAATATAAAAAAATGTCAAAGTAATACATAGAAATGGTGGCACATATGGTAAGTGTTGAATATAGAAATAATAATTAAATCATAAATTACTTTGTAAAGAAGTCTTTCGTTATTTGTAAAACAATTAACTTTTGTACCTTAAAATAATAAAATTTTTATATTCTACTCCCTCCGTCCCGAAAGAAGTTCCCTTATTGACTTTTTGGAAAATTAAGGGAGGGATATTTTGGTGTTAACTTTCCAAAAATACCCTTGATGTGAATGATAAAAGTAAGATGTGATAGATAGATTATTAGTAAAAAGGTATGAGGTGATATGTAGGGTATGAAAAAGTAAGGAGTAAAAGTAGTTTTTTAATAGAAAAAGGAAGGAGTTTGTGGGACAAAGAAAAAATGAAAGGAGAAGAGGGATAGAGGGAGTATTAGATAAGAAATTATATCCTTCAAAAATGATCTTAATTTAGTAATATAAGTATGATCCGTAGGCATGCTAGTTCTTCCAAAGCATCCGTCAAATGACTTTTGTTTTAGCATAAATAATTTCCTTAGTAACTGAGAGCTTATACCTGAGTATTTTCTTTTTTCGGGTTGATTACGTTTGAATGGAGTCGCCAAAACATTGGATTTGGCGCGCACTCAATTGGACTTTCAAAGCTTCATTCAATAGACGCTAATGTGTGGTTCATCGTTCTCACATCTATACTGCTGAGAACTGCAAAACATGGAAACGGGAACCCTAACGTCATCATCCAAACATCCAATCCGAGCTAAATCTAATGCTTAAAATACGTTTCTGCTGAACCACCAGTTCTATATTACTCTCTCCTTAAGCTTGAGTTCGTGTGACGTTTGTTGGAGAGAAGAGGACAATTTGTGCGAAGGGTTGATTCGTGTATCTTGTATCCGACCCATCTTGAGGGGATACATTGAATCGGGACACCAAGCTGTTCCTGAGAGATCATCTGCCACTAACAAAAGAGCCTAGTTCATTCCACAGCAGTTTCTGCAAAATAGAGGTCAGAAACAGGAGTTTTACGGGAGGTATTTAACCCGCCTCTGAAATCATTTGAAATTTTATCCTAGTTAGTAATTTCCTTTTTTTTGTGTTATCTGTTTAGTTTAGTTATGCGACCATTTCAAGCATATCGCTTCAGTTTAGAAATTCTATCTTTTGTTTCTGAAAAGAAGAGTTTTTGAGTCATGGCTTGTAGATTTTGTGACAGTGTCTTTGGGGTTGAAATCTCCAGGGGACTACTTGAGCGGTGGTTCACATTGGGATGATGGAGGCCGCTTTTTAGGGATTTGAGTAAACAAAGGTTAAGAGAGGATAAAAACAATGGAGACCACGGTTTCAGTTTCAGATAGTTCAATTTCGAAGAGGACGAGAAGGAAAGTGAGTGTAAAGAGTTACAGTGAGAATCTTATAGATGAACTAATGGATGGGCAGTTGGGAGGTTTCAAGAAGAAGAGGATTAGAACGAAAGAACAATTGGAGAAAGAGACCGAGGTTGAGGCCATGATAGCACTCTCTTTGGGATTCCCTATAGATGATTTACTAGAGGAGGAAATTAAAGCTGGGGTTGTAATAGAGTTAGGCGGGAAGGAGCAGAATGATTATATTGTTGTGAGGAACCACATACTTTCCAGGTGGAGGTCTAATGTTCGGTCATGGGTCTCCAAAGGCCAGATAAGGGAAACTGTGAGTAGCGAGTATGAGCATTTAATATCTTCTGCATATGACTTTCTTTTGTCTAATGGCTACATAAATTTTGGGGTTTCTCCTTTGATAATGTCTCAGATTCCTGAGGAGGCAACTGAGGGGTCCGTCATAATTGTCGGGGCTGGACTCGCGGGATTGGCTGCTGCGAGGCAGCTGATGTCATTTGGTTTCAAGGTGGTTGTCCTTGAAGGCAGGAACCGACCTGGGGGAAGAGTTTATACACAGTATTTGGAGCAGAATGGTAACAATGCTACTGTTGATCTTGGTGGCAGTGTAATAACTGGTATCGATGCCAATCCTCTGGGGGTATTGGCCAGACAACTTTCCATTCCTCTTCACAAAGTTAGAGATAAGTGCCCTTTGTACCAACCTGATGGAGCACCAGTTGATGTGGATATTGATTCTAAAGTTGAACTTATCTTTAACAAGCTTCTCGACAAAGTCATGGAGTTGAGAAGAATAATGGGGGGATTTGCTAATGATATTTCTCTAGGTTCAGTCTTGGAAACACTCACACAACTATATGCTGTGGCTAGAACCACAAAGGAGAGACAACTCCTTGACTGGCATTTTGCAAACTTGGAATATGCAAATGCTGGATGCCTTTCAAACCTTTCAGCTGCCCATTGGGATCAAGACGACCCTTTTGAAATGGGAGGTGACCATTGTCTGCTTGTTGGTGGAAATTATAGGCTAATCAAAGCATTATGCAAGGGAATTCCAGTTTTCTATGGTAAAACTGTTCATACAATAAGGTACGGAAATGGAGCTGAAGTCATAGCTGGTGGCCAAGTTTTTCAAGCAGATATGATACTTTGTACTGTGCCTCTTGGGGTTTTAAAGAGAAAATCCATAACATTTGAACCGGAATTACCCGAGAAGAAAGTTGCTGCTATAGAAAGATTGGGATTTGGCTTGTTAAACAAGGTTGCTATGGTATTCCCCTATGTCTTTTGGGAAGAAGATCTTGATACGTTTGGCCGTCTAAACCAGCATAGGCATAAGCGTGGAGAATTCTTTTTATTTTACAGTTATCATACTGTTTCTGGAGGTCCTGTACTTGTTGCTCTTGTTGCTGGTGGTGCTGCACAATTATTTGAATATACGGAGCCATCCATCTTGGTGCATCACATTATAGACATTCTTAGAGGTAAGGATGTTATATTAATCTTTGACCTGCAGGTTATACAGCTACACATTGCATACTTTTTATAAGATCTTTATGAATAATTGGATTTTAATTTAATTTGGCTATTGAATGTTCCCAATTTACATTTATATGTTAAGCTTATATTCCCACCAAATTAATTAACAACTAAGGGTCCTTTTGGCGAGTTTTAGAGAATTAATATGGTACTTTTGAAATCTGGGAGAATTGATATGGGTTATGAAATATGAAAATAAGGTGTTTGGAGTATTTAACGGGTGTGGGTGGTTGACGGTTGATGGAGATATCAAAATCCCATATTGTTATCTTCCAAATTCGAGAGATATCAAATTCCCTCTTTTGGGAGGTTTTGAAATCTGAAGATATCAAATCTGAAATATATTCAGGCTCTCACGAAACACCAAAAAAGGGGTTCTGATATGTGGAGATATCAAAACCCATCTCTTTTATTCACCGAACAAGTACTAAAAACTTTAACTTAGTAATCTATGGAGTATAATTTGTGGTCTTATTTGTGTATCACGATTCATCTTCTAAGGGAAAACAATATAGCGGTAGAGGTCAAGCATTATCTGCTCCTCCATTTCCTTTCCTAAGAGTGGAAGCTTCTGCTACCTTCACAAGATTCAATGTACATAAGACTATTTTTTCCTTAGATTTGTTTCTCTTTCTTATCTGATCGGAGAAGGTCACATCAGTTAGATACCCCTAAGCTTGGAATCGAAATAAAAGGCAGATTCAGTTCTTTTATGAGGGATTCAAAGGTAATTTATGGGTAGAGCCATTGTCCACCAAACACATGTTACAGTACTGAATTGTCCCCTCTAACTTCATGGTGGTTGTTGAGGATGTCCCAGAATGGCATTGAGGGAAATACCAGCTTCCTCCATCATATGCTCAGTTTAAAACAGGGGCTAAGGTTCTTCTGGGACTGGATTGCCAGCCCCGTCGACCTTCATAAGAGAAAAGGAGGTCATCACATATTGATGCCCAGGGTGGAATGGCTCTCCACAGAAAAAACAGAAGCCCACATCTTTCTGTTATCAAATCAAATCCCAGAACCCGTGCTTGAATAATTCTGAGATAAAGAACTTATTGGACCCAAGGAAGAAGTTGTGTGCGAACTCATGACAGTGGACGAGTCACTCAGGTTGGACATGAAATGGCTTCAGGCTGGGTTGGTTGAGGAATTGGACTGGTTCGGACTGGTTTCCAACCCGGGTGCAGTATTTGTAGTCGATTGCAGCTTCTTCCATAGTTCTAGGGCGAGACATAATGCACTATATACAATTTTTGGCTTGTGGATCCAGACTTTCAAGCATAACTTGTCTTTCAAGCCATCCAGGAACACTCCCCCTAAGCAATGATCCAACCAATTCTTCACCCATGCCACATTTCTTCCCCATTCGTGACGATATTCTTGTACATAATCAGTTTGCTTGATGCTCTTCAAGTGTTTGTTAGGATTCTTTTACTCCGAAGGCCTGCAGTATTCTTGAAAACTATTCACCAACTCCTTGTTGAGCGAGGTGTGCTGTAAAATACTTCCCACCCTTCAAAATTCAGACTTGCGGGTGGGTCGCCTTCACTGAGAGTGGGAGATTCGATCTTAGCATGTGGAAGCCAATAATGTTTATGTAGCAGAACCATGCGGTTTGATAGAATTTAGGATGGGATAGTGATAACTCGATTGGGTAATAAGACACTTGGGTTGAACCGCATTAAAAGATTGAATCCAATCAATTAGTTAGTTCAACTCAAAAGCTTATATACCGATTATTTTGCTCTTGAACTTCTGATGTGGGTTGACACTCTAACACTCCCCCTCAAGTGGACAACCGGGCCATTTTGAATCAAACTGGTTGACCACTTGCAAATAAACTCCTATTTCCTTGATTTTTTTTGAGCGCCAACACCTAAAGGACCACGAGCCGCTGGGTATGAACTTCCAGACGAGCGATCGTGTTAAATGGGCCTCAGGCCGTTGGGTACATACTCCATACGGACAACTGGGCTAAATACTAACTGGCCGCTAGGAATGAACGTCTAGTCGGACACCTTGACAAAAGAGGTGGGCCAAAACCTGCTCCGATACCATGATAGAATTTAGGATGGGATAGTGATAACTGGATTGGGCAATAAGACACTTGGGTTGAACCGCATGAAAAGATTGAATCCAATCAATTAGTTAGTTCAACTCAAGAGCTTATATACTGATTATTTTGCTCTTGAACTTCCGATGTGGGATGACACTTTAACACGGTTAATGCGCTTCCCACGTTGATGGCATACCATGACTCCCCTATTGCTAGAGCTCCAAGCCTCCAACCCATTTGTGGAGGCAAACAGTTTGCGCCCCCCAACCTCACCACCAACAACTTCCACAATACCAAAAGCGTAGCTCCTCTCCCCACACTCCCTATGAGTGTGGTGGCGAGAAGGGTAGGCACAAAAATGGAGGGCACGCAAGATCTGTTGCTTAGGACCTTCATGAAGAAGGTTGTGGATCCTTGGAAGAAAACAAATAAGGACTCGTCCTCAAACCCACGAGTGAGGTTGACAACGCCCTTCACCGAGCGGATCGGATACTTTGACAGGAGCATGGATCCGCAGGACCACTTCGATCACATCCAAACCAATATGGTGGCGGTGAATTGCTCAGAGGAGTTAATGTGTGAGTCGTTCCATTGGCGCTTAACAAACCCGCCCACACGTTGTACACTGTGCTATTAGAGAGTAGAATTAATATGTGGGAGGATCTGGCCAAGCGCTCCCTCCACACTTCGTAGGGAGCAAAAAGATGAAGCTCTATTATTCCCACCTCCTTTTGGCTCGGCATATAAGTCAACTGAGAGCCTCTGAGATATTATCAAATGTTGGAAGATAGAAACAAATAAGGTCTACGACGCGGATGACGATACACAACTATAAACCCTTCACCTGGTCCTCTGAGCTTGAGACTTCTCCAAGAGCATGGTCCAACGTCTGCCGAAGGTCTAGGTTGAAGCCATGAGCAGGGCTGAGCTTTTTAGTGATAAAGAGCCTCTTGACTTCATCAAGATGAAGGAAGAGCGCAGAGGCAAACTCCGAGCACTATCTTGCCTTTCCAGGATGTCCCATCCATAATGCGCACCATTTGGTTGTTTGAGTGGTCAAGTCCCACTTATATCCCAACCATCAAGTAGGCCTATCGACATGGGTCTGGACAAGACTGCTCAAGAAACAAAAGGCCTCCATTCTGAGGTCCAAAGATCATGGCACCCAAAGTGTTCATACTGCTGACTTACCTAGGGAGCATCATCCTTCAATGCACGGAGGATAACAACTTGGTGTATCGGGATCCTAAAGCGCATGAGTTTGAACTCTTCAAGGTTAAGGGCAGTCTATACTATCATTTCCACCAAGCTCCGAGGCACTTCATAGACGAAATGCAAGGGGCTTAACTCCCTTAAGAGGGGGGGGGGGGTCGGGGATCTCATTCAAAGGGTGAACCTTCAAGAGTTCGTTCAAAAAGAGAGGAATATGTGGCGGAGGTCACGCCACTAGGGACCCAACCTGGAAATGCCCAAGCCTGATCCAAAGAAAAAAAACTTGGAAACACCCAAGCATGATCCCAAGAAAAAACTCGAGAATTTCAAGAGGAAGAAAATTGAGCTCATGAGCAACAATGGAATGCAGACGCTAACCCAAAACACCGGAGGGTCCATGACCCCAACATGATCATCAGAAAGAACATTAGAGGAGACTCGGCCATCCTCTGGAAAAAGTGGGCATGGGCCGCATATGTTGCGGATGTAAGCATCAATGCCCAGCAAAGCAAAAAAATAGAGCCCATTGATTTAACAATGAGGGACCATCTCCCCATTGGGACATCATCAAGCCTCAAGGGTGAGGTTAATGGTGTTATGGTCCACCATACGTAAGTCGATACTGGAAGTTCAGTAAACATCATGCATACAGAGGCGTTCAAGCATCTGAGTTTAGATAGAGCATTGATGAAATTTGTCCAAACCCCCATCTCTGGGTTCACGAGGGGCATGTTTGACACAAGTCACCTTGTGTAGCAGGGCACATAAGATGAGTATTCTGGTCGAGTTCATGATTGTACTCGTGGCAGGAGCCCATACACGTTATCCCTGGACGACCACCACAGGAGGATTTAGAAGTCATCATCTCCATGAAACACAGGTGCTTCAAGTTTCGTACAGAGAGCGGGGTCGCATCATGTCAAGGTAGCCAAGACCTCACTCACTCTTGTTATGTTAAGTTGGCCAAAAACCTATCCCTTGAAGAATTAATGGTCCACAACATCACCTTGGCCTTGGCTCTGAAAGAGGGTGGTTGACCTCGTGTCGAGCCATAAAAAACAGATGAGGTTGTCAACCAAGCCACGCAACCAGATTAGAAGATCATGGCGGGGAATGGATTATTGGCATCGTTGTGGGCGAAGATCATAAAGGTCATCCAAAACTACTTTGTGATATTCGCATGGGGCGAGAGCACATGTCGGGATTGATTCAGATGCAAAGCGTGTGAAACAAAAGAAACGACATCTGAGCACACGAGTCATGGGGTTTGTTCGGATGGAGATCAAAATGATCTTGAAGGCCAGACATGTTAAAGAAGTAACAAACCCCATCTAGTTGGTTGGTTGGCCAATGTCGTGCTCACCTTGACCTTCTAGATGTGCGTGGATTATATGGACTTGAATAAGGCTTGTCCAATAGCCCTCTCTTGCTTCTCAACATCGGCCAACTTTTTGATGGGACAACTAGCTCTGAGTTGATCTCGTTCATAAATGCCTTCTACAAGTATCACAAAATTTTCTTGCACTCGGGTGATGCAAAAAGAACTGGGTTCATAACTCCAAGAAGCTTCTATTATTATGTGGTCATGGTCATGGCATTTAGGTGATAACTCGGGAGGAAATTACACAAGAATAGTCGCCCACTCTCCCGACATTTCCAATTTATCCTAGGCTA